ACGAATTCGCCGAGCGAGCGCCTTTCTCGGTCGTACCTAGGGTTTTACTAATGTTAAGTGCGGTCGGCATCGACATTCACGCTCAAAATATTGTCTAATCAAACAAGATGTTTGTATAGAGCGAATAATATGGGTCAAAATACTTACCTGATAGCGCTAATATATCAAAACATTGTCTACTCGAACAAGATGTTTGTATAGAGCGACGATATCTGGACAAAGTAGTTTACTTGAGAGCGCCTGGGACGCAGTCCACGAACGGATCAAACTATTTCCCACCCTTTTGAACGTAATGATCGCATACAGACAGCACAATAGAAAGAGCAAGCGCTGCACACGAACGAGCGAGGAGTCTACGATCGAGACCGAGCAAACCAGGATCGTCTCCATTGCGTAGGCTGTCGCATGCATCGTTCGCAGGTCGATCTTAGAACCGAGGGACAACCGTGCACGAAATAACACATTCACGGTGGGGCGGCGGGTCAACTGGGGCGGCGAGGCCTTCGCAGCATGGATCGATCCACGTGGTGGTCAGTTTGGAATTCTGCACCCAGCAGCCACGTGCACTCGAAATATCCACGGCGTCGAAACGTCACTTAAGCTGGATCACATCCAACTGGTTTTATGTCCGGCCAGTGTTTTGGTGTGGCGACGTGTGGACCTTACTTGGCCCGACCTCCCATACATCCGGCCGACAATCGTCCAAACGGGGTGTGTGCCCGTGCTACACACTTGGAGTGGCCTTGGCAACGGGCAACTCATGCCACATCTAGCACGAATCGGGTCCTGGACCATGCCCTCCGTATGCCCCCCCATGTGGCGAGCTGGGATTTCCCGCCGCTTCCTTCTACTTCGCGTAACTGGCCTCTGGTCAGCCTCTGCCGCCACGTTGCGTCAGTCGCGGACCCGACCAAAACATCAAACCAGGCGCGACGGCACAATGAGACCACGACCACTAGCATCACATGCCACAATATCCTGTCGTGAAGTTTTAGTGACGGAGCGTGGTCGTGCACTCCGTCGGACGATGCTGTCCATTGAATGTCTTCCGTCCCCATTGTAACCGACAAATGCAGCCTGTCGTTGTCCATCATGTCACTAAATTGCCGTCGAGGGCGGCGCACCAGTGTATCCTCGACACGGTAATTCACGCACTGGCTGGCTTGCCGCGACGGATCCCATGGCGCCACACCCAGCGCACTTCGTCCACTTTGGCTGTGCATCGCCGCTCTTTTGCGACTCGTACACTCGGTAAGCACACTGCGCTGCGTTGGTCGTCGTGGACGAGTGTCGTGGAAGGGATGGTAACACCACGACAGGAATAACAAGAGCACCGGGCACAAGAACCTTCGGTGCTTTCCGCATTGCTGCGGCACGCACCGACCCAATTCGTTCTGCGGCGCGTCCATCGTCGTCGAGTGCCTGGTTCAACGGCCAACACGAGCGATTGTCAGCTATTGCCGCTTCGAAGCGTCCGACATGGCCGAACAAGTGATCCAAGTCGACGAAAGTGTGCCGACCGAGACGCTGATGGCAGAAGTCAAATCGACGGACGTGCCCCTCGGGCCATGGATGGCTGGCGACCGCCTCGACGTTCCTTCTACCGACATCATCCGATTCGAGTACAATCGCGTGCGGCAGTCGTGGCACTACGGGTGGCGTTCGAATCGATTCAACTGCAATATCAAGCATACCTTTGTGGTACGTTCAGTTCCCACAGGATCCATGTCCCTCATGGCCCGACGACGCCACGTAGGTGTATGTGTTTGAGCAGCATCCCGGGACCCTGCGCTGCATCAGTCGTGTGGCATCTCCTCCGTTCACCATTTGCTCCACAAGGCGCAGTATCGCCAAGCTGCCATCCTCCCCAGGTAACAAGTTCGAGCGATGGCCTGGCCTCGCACTGCTGTGTTGGGTGTGCTGTAGGGGGAGGTCCGTCGGACGACGACATCAAACCTGAATCATCCCCTCAGCGGAAGCGGTCCCGCACAGTCAAGTCGCCGGCCCCCACCCAGAACGGAACCTTGTCTCTGCCCACCAACCACGACGACCAAAACGATGACATCGAGACCGCGATGGATGAAATGCTCCAGCTCGCCGATATTTACGCTCGAAGCGGTGTTGTGGTTGACAAGGCGAACCACGAGCGCTTGGACATTGCGCCAGCCAGTCCAACGTATACGCTGCTACTGGAGCTGCTCGAGCGACACTTGTTCACGCGCGTCACGCTCGAATTCGTCCAAAGGCGCTTAGACCAAGTCGACGTGAGTTTGCACGACTCGTTTCGTCAGTTGGTCTGGTTCCTGTGGAACCAAGTCAGCCATGCCCTCGACGCGCACCAACTCACAGTCCGCGACCTCATCGAACTCGTCCAGCGCGACTTTCCATTGTGCGAGTTCGCTCGAGACTACGACGCGTGGATCCATCATTATACCACGGTGGCCACCGAATTGAAAAAGGTACTGTAACGTTGCCGTGGAAGTCGGCTGAACGGCTCGGACCTTCTCGGTAGACGACGATGCTGCGAGACATCCCCGCACCGTTTGCATCGAAAGATCGCCGACCTATCTTTGGGCGGTGGCAGCGCGAAACACCCGCGCGACATTGCCAGCTCGTCCAGCAGCATCTGCTCGAGCGCGGCAGCCGCATTTGGACGTGCTTTGAAGGGTGCGACAGTTCCCCGACTACTGTACAGGTAGCAAACACTTCGCACCGGGGGCAGACCTCGCCTTCACGTGATCGTAGATGCGATGGGAGTGCGCGGTGTATGCCCCATGGACAACGTTCCGCCTCGACCAACTGCCGCAGAGCCATCCCCATCAGCTCCTCGGCCCGAGCGGTCTCCCCACGCTCGGCAGCGGGATGCACCTCTGCGGCACGCGGGCGTGGGAAGAAAATCATGGTTGAGATGGCACCTGCCGGCCAAAAACAGGCGCCTCGATAGCTCCTAACGTGTACCGTAGGAGATACATTGGTCGTGGAGTGGTATTTCTGGCCAGGCGATGGGCTCCTCGCCCGCAAGCGCGTGCGGGAGCGGTTCACGCTGCTCGCGAGCACGACCAACGGCATGATGCGCCAGCAATTCGTCGAGATGTGCTGGGACAAGACCCACGGCGCAGTCGCAGGCACGGACGACGTGCAGCGTGTGCTGCTGCCAGCAAACTGGCAAGTGCACCACGTTGAAACATCCTACTACCGTCGATTTGGAGCCGACGCCACCAACCCGCATGCATCGGGCGACGCTCACGGATGACACGACGGCGGCGGTGGACGCACCAGTGGCGTACAATAGGAATAAAATATTTAAAGTCGGTCAATACAAAAAAGAGGACACTTCCCATGTGCTAGGTTTGTGGTTGGCAACCGACCGGCGGGATGGCGGCGACGCCGACACGTGCACCGCGAGAGCGATGAACTGGCAGACGACGCGGGGGGCACTGAATGTGACAAGGGGGACGTGTGCCTGAAGCCACTCTGTCGAGAGGGCCTTACTAGCACCGACATGGTGTGTAGATCTGTTGTTGCTGGGTCATATGCATGCCATTCGCCCTGCTGCACCGCATCGCGTCTTCTGGTGCGAATGCAGTTTGGATAGATGAGACATTCTCGCTGGTTTCTCACGCGGTGTGCCGACGTAGAGATGACATTGCTTTGGATGCGAATAGCGTCGTCTTCACGTCACTTCGATTGCAAAATCGCAATTCGCACGCATCGAGAGTGCGTCCTGTTGACCTCGTGCGTTGTTCGAGTTCCTTCTTTGTCCTTCCTGTCGAGCAACTTACCTACACGCACCCATGGTGAACCGAGGCGATTGAGTGCATTCAAGGCAGGATATGAAGTGCTCGAAGGGCTGAAGCACTTTGGCGATGGCCACACCATCGCGCGGCAGTGCCATGGCAATGCTGTGGTCGAAAGAGTCCACCGCGCGAGCACCTGTCAGGTGCCGCCTCGTCTCGACTCGATGGCTGCACCACTCGCGTCGAGACGGCAGTGTGTGCAAAACAAATTATTCTAGGTTGAGTAGAGACGGCAACATGCATCCGTGGGATCGATTCGTTCGTTTACGCGGAAGGAGTCGCGGCAGGTTCTTCGTCCAACACTTCGACGACGACGTTGTGGTTCGTGTACACGCAAATGTCAGCAGCGATCTTCATGCTGCGACGCGCGACTTCTTCCGCCGACAAATGTGGCTCTTCGATCAGTGCACGTGCAGCAGCCAGCGCATAAGTGCCGCCGGAACCGATGCCGATGATTCCATCGTGTGGTTGAAGGACATCACCGTTCCCCGTCAGCGTGAACGATTGCTTGTTGTCCGTGACAATCAAAAGCGCCTACGAACGCATTGCATCAGCTCTCTCCTGGACGATGCCAATTGAATCGTCGTACTTCCAAAGCACGGAGGTACTTGTCCGTGCGCCATGCCTTTGCCAACTCAACGCACGCGCGTGTCAATTGCCCTATGCTTCATGAGAAAAGATGTGACGACGTGATTCAACACACCAGGGTACTCCTCCAATTTGCTCTCTAAGCGCTCAATGAGGGTGAATGCATCCGCCGTCGACCCAGCAAACCCCGCGATGACGTTTTCGTTAATCCGACGGACCTTTTGAGCGTTGGGCTTGACAATAGTGTGGCCGAGGGACACTTGGCCGTCCCCAATGACAACCTATGCAACAATGGGCCCATGCGCCAACACACGAGAAGGCACGTACGACTTTGCCATTCTTGCGCACGCACAGAATGGTCGTGCCGTGCATTGTAGGTCCAGACGAGAACTGGCGGGTAGACACACCGCCGCCGCGACGGATGGAGTTGGCAACCAATGCCTTGAACATGGGGCTCGGAGCAGAATGCAAGGGCACCATTCCTCTGGGTTTAACGCACGTTAAACTCGTACTTAAGAGGATTACCTCTGTCTTTGATTTACTGTATGCATTCATTCACGTCGAACGGGATGCGTGGTCCACACATTAAGGTGCGTCGCCGTCAACCAACTTGTGATCTAATCGCTTCGATGGGCAACATTAATGCGTGCTGGTGACCCACTCACTGCATCTGTACGGCACAGCGGCGGCATGCGCACTGGAAAAACGCTGATGCGCTGTTCATCTTGTGATTTATTTCTGCTCAGGAATGTGCAACATAAATGAATCCTTTAAATTGGGCAATCCACTACTTCAAGTAAGTTCCACCTGGTTGCCATAGATACATAAATGAATCCTTTAAACTGGAGATCCATGGAATTCATCTAAGTTCGCCATAGATACGTTACATGTCCGGATAAACTACGTCATTTTTCGGGAGTCCCAAACCAAGTCGACGCCAAGGAATGATGCAACGATTGCTTCGCCGCGCGACAGCGCTGCCGCGACAGTCGTCTGCTCTTCCATTGCTCCAACGATCAATGAGTAGCAAGGCAGCATATGCGAAGCAGCTGCAAGAGAAGAACCGTCGCATTTTGTACTACACGTCTGGCGTTGTCATTCTTTTCTTTGGTGGAGCGTATGCCGCGGTGCCGTTGTACAAAGTGTTTTGCCAGATGACGGGTTTCGGTGGGACCACGCAGCGCAGCGACATTTTGGCCGCGGAAAAACTGAGTCCGGTGGAAGGCGCGCACCCCATTCGCATCACGTTTGATGGGGGAGTCGGCGGTGCAATGCCATGGACGTTCAAACCAGTCCAACGCGACTTGATCATAGTCCCTGGCGAGACTGCACTGGCGTTTTACACGGCCACGAATAACTCGGACAAGGCAGTCACGGGCGTCGCCACGTACAACGTGCATCCGCCGAAAGCTGGTCTCTACTTCAACAAGATCCAATGTTTCTGCTTTGAGGAACAGCGGCTCAAGGCACGGGAAGAGATTGACATGCCCGTCTTCTTCTTCATCGACCCCGACATCGTCGACGATCCGTCGATGCAAAACGTGTCCAATATCACGCTCTCGTACACGTTTTTCAAGACGGACGATGTCGACGAGTCGGACGTCGAGTAGAAAATGCACAGTTGACAGTAACAGCGCCATCATTGAACCATCGTTTGACGCAGGCGGACCGAGCCATCGAGCGACGGCAGCGGATGCACTTTTCACCCCCGTGGTCTTGCTCCACAATCACTTTCTCTCTGGTGCAGCCACAGTGCATGGATGACTGGTATACCCCTCACAACGCTTTGATGCAAACATGACCCATCAAAAGGACACAAGGGTGGACGCGATTTTCAACTTAAAAGACGACGCGAATTGCTATTCCCTTGCCGCCACCTTCCAAAGCCACGACATCGTCCCATCACCTTCCGTGTGGTTGTCGATCGACCAACCGGTGGGTGGCCTGGCTCGTGTCGACCATTTCGACGGCGTCGCTGTGGTTCCACTCGGCGCGGCAATTCTCGTAGTACTCTGGGAACCGCTCGATGAGTCGCACAAAGTCGTCGTAATGGAGGAGGAACATGGTGCAATTCACGTTGGCGATTGCGGTCGCTTGGCGGCCCGTATCGGCAAACAAGGACGACCCACCAAAGAAATCCCACGTGTTGCACTGCTTGGACGCTTTCTTGGACGCGACGAGCGTGATGTGGCCAGCATCGATAAAGTAGAGCACGCGCGCCACGTCCCCAAGCTACACGCCCATCCGGTCACAAATTATATCGCGGTTGCGACGACGGTGCAAAATTCGTACCTGAAAGATGATGTCCGACACGATGTACTCCTCCGTGTGCAGCTTGGTCACGAGCGCCCGGACAAACACTTCTTCGCAGTGATTGAGGAAGCTCAGGTTCTTGACCACGTTTTGCTTGACGAACATCGCAATGTCTTCGCGGATCGTCGTGCTCAACACGCTCAAAAAGTCGTCTTCGGTGCGGCCCATGTGGTCTTGCCACTGCGTGCGGCAATACCGCGACGTTTGGATGAAAAACTGGAACGGAAGGAGGCGGTAGTTGAAGAATGTGCTGACGTCGACCATGTGCTGCTCAAAGCTCGCACGGGGGTGCAGCGTGTCCTGCAGCATCTCTGAAAACACACCGACCAACACGCCAAAAAACGCAATCGAAAACAAAATGATCCCGACCGTGGCCCACGTCTCGACGACGTTTTCGCTAAACACGTCGCCAAACGACTGCGACGTGAGCGACGACACGGCATAGTACAGCGACGCCAGGTACACATTCAAGCTCGTAAACTTGATCGTGTCGGAAAATCCGAGCGGGATGCCGTCGGCGGTCGACATCGTGGTGTTCAGGTCGAGGTACCCCATCGAGACAAGCCACGACGGCGACCCCGACGTCCGCGTCGCCATCGACACGTAAAACCACATGCACGCAATCCAATGGCTCACGACGACGAACGGCGCGATGTACGACGTAAAGTAGTGAAACATGACCTTGTACCGGTGGAACCAAGCCCAGTGGTGGAGAAGCGTCGTCACGGTCGTCATCAGTTTCGGGACATGCACGAGCCGCACCATGCGGTTGAGTCGCAGCAGCGACGCCAGGCGCCACGGATTCGAGTTGGCATGCGGGACAACGTACACGAGCAGTTCGAGCGGCAGTAACCCGACAACGTCCGAGTAAAAGTGACCGTGCTGCGTGTAATGCCGACGCAGCACCGCCGGCTGAGTCTGCAGCTCGCCCCGCGCAAACACGTAAAACACTTGCCATCGTGCAATCGTGTCGACGACGCAAACGAGGTCGAGGAGATGGTCCCACGCAAACCAAACCAGCAGCCATAGCGGTGTCTCGTCTGGAACCACGACGAAGGCAGCTTGAAACGGAAGGACGAGCGCAAAGTACGTGATCGCAAACAGCATGACGAGGTCCCAGCACTTGCGCACGGCCGATTCGGGCTCCCACCGCGGGTTTGGAGGGGGACCGAACGACCAGATGGGGAATTCCTTCAACGGGGCGGTGGCCAGCGGGTTCTTCTTGGCTTTGGGTGGCGCCGTGTGCCGGAGGTACTCGAAGTAGTTGCGACCACTCACGTCGGCTGTGGTTTGCGGCACCCCCGCGGACGAGCTCGACTGGAGCATCATGGTGAGTTTGAAAGGGCGGGGCCGGGAAATGCCAAAGTTTTGTTTGAGCGCAGGGATGATGTGTCCAAGCAAATCAATCTCGTGCTGGATATCCCGAGTCATCTTTGCCTCGAGCTTGGACCGAATATCGGGGGACCACGCATTGACCCAGTCCGCTTTCGACAGGGACAGGATCTCGCAGCACTTCACGGCGCGGACGCAGTAGACGTACCGAATCGACTGGAAAAACCCGAGCTCGCCAAACACCGCGCCTTGGTACAGAGGGGCGATCACAATGTGGCACGACCGAAGGTACTTTTCCCCGAGGCCTTGTTTCATAAAGTACAAGGACGTGCCAACGTCGCCTTCGACGAGGATGTTGTCGCCGGGGAGGTACAATGACGTGTGCAGCTTTTCGGCGATCGTGTTCATTTGGCCTACAGGTTTGTGCAAACGCGTGAGGGTACCGCGCAGCAGCAGCAGGGACCAGGACACACCTTGCGTTAGCGACGAGAAGAGCGGGATGGGCGCAAGGAGCTTTGTGTACAAATCCTTGAACAGCTCGATGCGCAAGCTCTGCGGCAAGTCGCGAAAGATGACGTGCGCATCCATCCCCATGTTGCAATCGAGCTGGAACTCAAAGAAGAGCTTCGCGCGACGGAGCAAGAACGGCGGGAGCGACTTGATCTTGGCGTAGAACGCAAAGTTGTCCAAATGCATTTCGACTTCGCGCAGTTCCTACAATGCAGACATGGTGTGTCAACTACACAAGGCGAACGAAGCAACCGAACGAACCTTATTCGCATTGAAGATGGCGGTACACACTTGCCCGATCACAACCCCGATAAAGACGACGCCAGACAGTGCCACCACGCAGAACCACAGCGTTTCGCCGACTTGGGACAGGTGCATGTCCATGTAGTCGAACGAGCTCACCTGCTCGTTTCGTCAACGATCGACAAGGAATGGCAGGTGAACTCACCACGCCGAGCCCCCAGTAGAATGCCCGGAGGTACGTAGCGCCGATACTGCCGTGGCATTGCTCAATGACAGAGTCGTGGCTGTACCAACTCAGCACAGCATGGCCCGAAGCTGTAGGCCCGTGGTCGGCGGCGCCGTGCTCGGCGTACGAGATCACATACAGCCCCGTCGCGGCCACATGCGACGCGAGGACGATGCCCACAAACAACTTGACGAACTCGAGGCCTTCCGTCACGACGGTAGACGTTGTTCGTTCCTGGACAAACGTGTGGAATGCGTGGAGGAGGTCGGAGAGCTGGTAGCACCGCAGGAGCCGCGGTAGGCGGCAGAGCGTCATGAGTTTGTAGTCACCGACGTAATAGAGTGGCAGGCTGCTCAGGGCTTCGATTTTGAACGCTCCGTGGAGGTAGTTGGATCGAATGAACGCGACCGACACCACCTGGACGATGGAGATGATGTACCGATGGGCAAAGATGATGTGGCGCCGCCATCCGTACCTCGTCGCCGTTTTTGTCGGTGATGATCAAGTGATTGTACTTGATGTACATGTCGATGAGAAAGATGACGTCGCACACGATGTCGACGGTCGAAAACACGAGCATCGCGTTGTCGGCCGGCGTCGGGACGAGCGCAATGCGAAAAGGGATTTGAATCACATTGTAAATGACGACGACCGTGATCAGGAGCCTCCAGAAGCGGTACATGGTCGAGCTGGGGCGAATGAGGCGATTGCCCAGCGCGGGCTCGATGTACAGAGTCGGCGTGTGTTTGAGCGTGCGATAGATCTGCGGCATGGCATGAGTCCATCAAGACCCACTGCATCGACGCACCGTCGGCTTGCGCAAATTTATCTCGAACGGGCCCATCGCGGCCATTTCCTCGACGTACACGTCCTTGGCGAACTGGTCGATTTGGTTCCACAACGGTTCAAAGTGCTTTGCAATCGTGGCAAACTCGTGCCGGCTGAGGACGCTCACGTCGGCGGACTCGGACACGACTCGGATGCTGACATCGTGGCTTCGTTTTTGGACAAACGCGGATTCCCCGACGCAACTACCGGGGTACAGCAACTGCATCGGCGTCATCATGTCATCGATCGGCACGAACGACTCCATGATGCCGCGCGTGAGGATGTATATGTTGTCGCACGCGTCGCCCGCGCGTACGATGAACTCGTGCCGTTTGAACGAGTGGTGTTTCATGATGGAGTAGATGAACCGGAGGCCGGCGTCATCTACGTCTTGGAAAATCGTCAGACGCGATACCGACTTGGCGTGCAGGAACGACTGGATTTCCTGACGAAGGTTGTCCGGGAGGGGCCGCAGGACGCGCAGCACTTGTTCCTCGGTGGATTGGGTCCAGTGGTGCTTGTAGTAGTTGCTCACGTCATGCCGAACATGCCGGGATACCCCTAAAACAACGACACGCATGGTCAGGTTGTTGTGGTCGATGCTGGCCGTACGCTCGGACGCCATGAAGCGATGGGCGACGGCAACTTGCATCTGCTTCATGCTGGTGGCCCAATTGATCCGCGTGACGGCGTTTGCCAGCGCGCCCAACGCGCCAAAGTTGGCCATGCTGCTCAGGAACAGCCACACAAACATGTAGACGCACTCGACGTCTGTAAAGGGAAAGATGGACCCGAATTGAACGGTCACGAGCGACACAACGCTCCAGCTGATTGCGCGAACGTAGTCAACGGAATGGCCATACTGCGCCCGGTCGTAGTGCAGCCATGTGCAGTTTTGAAAATCCCGTGCCCATTCCAAGCATTGGTCCATCGTCAGCGCCTCCAACGCACCATCCGCGTCGGTGGCAGCTCCGCGCATCGTGACCGACGCGATCCAGTACCAAACACACCCGCCAATGTGGCACGTAAACGGGACACACAGCGCGAGGCACGCAATGATGAATGTCGTGTTGTTGACTTGAAATTGCTTGAGGACGCCCGACAGGTTGGCAACCAAATTGCGCATGCGGAGGAACCGACTCCACTCGCCGATCTGGAGCGTCAGAGTCAGCCACGACGGCGCTGAAGCGGGGAGGCAGTCGGCGACCAGCGCAAACGGGATGTTTGAAATCGCATCCAAGACAAGGCCGTTGCGCATGTATTCGCGCCAGATGAAGAACGGCGCTGTGATCACCGTGTCGTGGTCAAAGTAGGCGAACCATCGCACCCGCAAGTAAAAGTCCACAAGCAGAAACAGATCCAAGAGGACGCGACCGGCAAGGACCGGCCATCCGTTGGGCGCGTCAAACGCAATGTGCAGCGGGATGTCGATCGCATACAGCACGAGCACGACGACGACGCCAATCTCCCACTTTTTCCGAAATCGCGACTGTGGCAGGTACCACTTGTCCATGTCCTTCACTTTCTCGACAAATGTCATGCCATGGACGAGTTTAGCATGGACGGAAATTTTGTCCAGAACGCCACGCGCTTCCGCGAGCATGGCGTTCCAAGTGATCGCGCCAAGCGGTGCGTGATGCAGCACGACGTCTTCGATCGTCGGCGGGTCGAGAGTGTACACGTCCGTGTACGTTTCCGCGCGTGCCGAGTGGAGCTCCCGCGCGATGGTGGCGTGGTCGGTGACTTGATGCAGGACGGACGATAAGCCAAAGCATTGCCCGTCCGTAACCTATTCGTTTATGACCACGCATAAAACAGACGCCGTGGGCGTACGTTGGTCAGCACAACTTGATTCGCATTGAGAAGAGCGATGCGACCGCGGCTGACCATGTGAATGGCCTGGCACGAGTCGTTTCGAATGATCCAGTCCAGACGTCCGTAGCATTGGCGCTTCATGTGGCACATGAGTCGCTTGAGGACGTGGGCGGGTTGATTGCGAAAGATGGGAACCTACGGCAGGCGATGAGCGCCGCCAAACGAACGATCCGTCTGTCCACGGGAGCAGTCGATGGGGCTTACATTTTTTAGCAGTTTGAGGCGCAACGAGTGGTAGCATTGCGTCTGAATGTGCGACGGCAGCGTCGCGATGATCGTGTTTTCGTCGATGCCGCGCTGGGCCGACCAAAAGTGCTCGTAAAAGTCCAGCACCTTGGCTTGGATGTGCTTGGAGAGGCGCCGAGCAGTCAAGTACTCCTTGACGCCGTCGACTTGGTCGTGAAACTCGTTCTCGTGTCGATTCTGGCATTCGAACAGGAAAAAGTAGGCGCCGATGATGCCGCCCGCAATGCACGACCGCATGAACTGGATCGCGATCCCGATAGCTCGCTCCAAGTTGGTCTGGGGGACTGGAAACCCGTACCCGACTGTGACGAGAGTGTACACGTACGTTCGAAAGAGCGACGCGCCTGGCCATGCCTCGGTCATGTCTCCAGTTTCTTCACAATTGCTACTGCACGTACCTCGTAGTTTTGCCTCGACTGCCCAGCACGTTGAGCCTGCGGCAGGTTGGTCCAAGTGGTAGCCGCACTCGAGATGCGAGACCAACAGCACAAAGCACGCAGCCCAGTGGATCAGCACGAGGCTCAGCAGGATGACCCCGACAAGGAGCGACATCCCAATGTTGTGGAAGCCAGCGAGCAATTGGTGGTCGGCGAGCATGTGTTTGAATAGGCGCGCTGCCTCGGGCACTTTGTGGATTCGCAGGAGCTTGGGGAGACGGCACACGATCATCGCGTGCGGCGACGTGAGCCAGAAAAAGTCAAACGGGATGAGCGCGATGCCGTCGAGAACGACGTGGCCCACGCTCACTTGGCGCTTCTTGTCCCATGACGAACTCAGGAGAAACTGCGGCTTCATGGACGTTTCCTTGGCGAGAAAGACGGAATTCCGCCGCATCGTTTCCTGCCTTGACGTTGACATCTTGACGAGTTTGTTCATAAAGGCCGAGTTGCGCCGGTCCGTGTCGGACGAAAAGTTCATGTCCATGGGGGCGAGCTGCTGGACAGGGATGCTGATTATCATGTCCTTGAGGGTTTCCATGAGCACGAGAAACGCGATAACATCCGAGACGACGTCGAGGCCGTACGTTACGTAGGTGGACACGGCGGACGACGTCGACGCGGTGCCGAGGGGGTCGTAGAGGAGCCCAAGACGAAATGGAACGCTGAACCCAATGTACACGAGCTGAAGCGCTTCCAGCACCAACATCGACTCTTGCGAGATCCATCGATCGATCACCCGGTGAAACGCGATGAGAATCACGAGCAGAACCAGCTTGGGATGGACATTCTGTCGCGTTTTCGGACCGGTCACGGCACTCGTGAGCTGGACCTTGATCGGGCCACCTGGTGGAGGGACCACGGGTCGAGTTGTTGGGCCGGCCATGTGCATGAAAGGAGCGGGAGCCACGTGTTGAAGGGTCGGCGTCGAGGCGGGAGGAGACAAGTGTAAAGGTGACTTTTGGAGGTGGCCGCTGCTGCCACTGACGATACCGTCGGGAGAGACCTTGAGGTGATTCAGTCCAGCTGACGATCCTCTTCGCGACCCCGACGGACGATGTTTCATTGTCGCCCCGCGTGATGGTCCGTGGAGGTCGAGGGTCGGCGCAAACGGGAGGAACTTGGTTTTCGGTTGCGCGTCTGCATCTTGAATCGTCGGTAGCGTCGACGCAAAGTGCGACGGCCGCCGCGACTTGCCACCATGATGCTCGGGCATGATTTGGGCCATCCCTCGTGCATCCAATGTCGCCCAACGATGAGGCGGGCGTTGCCCTAGTCGACGGGTCAAAGCAAAACGGGCGAGCGTGCCCGTTTTTGTCGCCCGTGAAACCGACCGACCAAACTCCACCACACATCCACCAAGGAGGTCCGTCAACGAGGTCGATCGGGTGCATTAGATCGAGTCCAACTAGCCTATGCTGGCAACTTGGTCGTGCTCGAGTCGTGCTTTGTTGCACGGTGTGGGGGAATAAAGAGCTTTTGAATCGCGTCTTCGTCGCGCACGCTCCACTGGGTGTAGCACCGATCGTAGTACTCTGGGAATCGAGTCACGAGCTTCTCAAACGCGTCGTAGTGGAGCAGGAACATGGTGCATTCGACGTTGGCGATGGCCGTGACAGTGCGCCCAACGTCTTCAAACAGCGACACGCCCCCAAAGAATTCGTGCGCGTTACGAGTTTGGACGCCAGTCGTGGCCGACACGAGCGACACCGATCCGACATCAATGAAGAACAGGGTCCGCCCGACATCGCCAAACTACGTCATGCGCCTTTGAGAGATCGGTCCCGGAAAGACGCATGCACGTCCATGGAGATAGGAAGGTTGAAGGTACCTGGTAGATGACATCGGCGTGGATAAACTCCTCCGTTTCGAGCTTGGTCACAAACGCCCGGACAAACACTTCCTCGGCCGTGTGGAGAAAACTCAGGTTCCGAACCACGTTCTGCTTGACGAACATCGCAATGTCTTCGCGGATTGTCGTGCTCAGCACGCTCAAAAAGTCGTCTTCCGTGCGGCCCATGTGGTTTTGCCACTGGAGCCGACTGAACCGCGACGTTTGGATGAAAAACTGGAACGGGAGGAGGCGGTAGTTGAAGAATGTGCTGACGTCGACCATGTGCTGCTCAAAGCTTGCGCGGGGGTGCAGCTTGTCCTGCATCATTTCCGCGAGCATCCCAACGAGGACGCCGTAGAACGTGACCGAGAACAGAATGATCCCGAGGGTTAGCCATGTTTCGGTCGCGTTCCGGCTGAACATGTCCCCAAACGACTGCGACGAGAGCGACGACACGGCATAGTACAGCGACGCCAGGTACACATTCAAGCTCGTGAACTTGATCGTCTCGGAAAATCCGAGCGGGATGTCGTCGATGACAATCGAAGTGTTGGCGCCAAGGTACCCCGTCGAGACGAGCCAGGACGGGGTATCGATGTCGGCATGGGGCGAGAACGAGATGTAGAACCAGAGGCACGCAATCCAATGGCACACAACGAAGAACGGCGCGACGAACGTGATGATGTACTCAAACAACGTCCGGTGCGCGACGAACCACTTGCGATGGGACAAGATGTGCTTGAGCGAGTGCGTAAGGTGGGGCAAGTGGACGACGCGGGCGACGCGGTTGAGGCGGCACAGCGACACAAGTTTCCACGCGTTCGAGTGGGGTAAAAACACCACGGCGATCTCGACGGGGAAGAGCGCGAGCAGGTCAGCTGCGAACGGGCCATGTCGGCGGTAGTGATGCCTCAGGACAAACGCCTCCGTTTGAATGTCGCCCTTGGCAAACACGTAAAACACTTGATACCGCAGCACAAAGTCCGCTATCGTCACCACGTCCAGCGCGTACTCGCTCGCGAACCACATCGTGATCCAGTACGGCGTCGATTCGGGGATCTCGACAAAGCACGCTCGAAACGGGACGAGCGTGATGTAGTAAATCGTGACAGCGAGCATGACCATGTCCCAGAGATTTCGAAACATCGAGTGGGGCATCCAGTGCTTGAAGCGAGGCGGGCCAGCGTGCCAGATTGTGACGGGTGCCTTGGGGGCAAATTGGGACAAGTGCGGCGACTTTCGCGGTCCAGCGCGGGACATTTCACGAATAAAGTCAAAGTAGTTGGGCACCGAATCGCGCCGGTTCTCGACGGACGGCGGCTTCGTACGGAACGTCGAGCGCTTCTTCACCCCGAGCACTGACGACAGCTTGATCGGGGCATGTCCCGTCACCCCAAAGTTCTGTTTGAGTGCGTGCATGATCTGCTCCATGAGTTGGTTCTCTTTTTGCACAGCGACCGCCATCTTGACTTTAAACTTGAGGCTGACCTCGTGGGACCACGCTTCCGTCCAGTCTTTCTTGGTCAGGCACAGGATTTCACTGCACTTGACGGCGCGGACGTTGTACGTGTGCCGCGTGGCGAGGAAGAACGAAACTTCTCCGAACGACGATCCTTCGTACACGGGAGCAACGATGAGATGGGCAGCGCGAATGTACTTTTCCCCAAGGCCTTGCTTCATGATAAAAAGCGTGTTGCCGACGTCGCCTTCCATGATCACGTCGTCCCCTGGCAGGTACAACTTGGAATGCAAGCGCTCAGCGATCGAGTTGATCTGGGCTGCACAAGGGATCATCATGACGTATTTGGGCGTTTCCGGGGTGGAAAGCAAAAAATATCTGTACCTGCATTTAGAGTGGAGAATATCGGAATTGGCGTCAACAACTTGGCGTACAAGTCTTTGAACAGCTCCAAGCGGAGGCACTGAGGCAGATCGCGAAAAATATGGTGGGCATCCATGCCCTTGTTGCAATCGAGTTGGAACTGAAAAAAGAGCTTGGCCCGGCGGACCATGAACCCCGGCAGCCTTTTCATCTTTGCATAAAATGCAAAGTTCTCGAGCTGCATCTCGACTTCTCGGATTTCCTGTCGCCCATGACGTATCAGCGATCAACCGTATTCGAATACGCACCTTGTTTGCGTTAAAGATAGCTGTACACACTTGCCCGATGATAACCCCCACGAAGACTACGCCCGTCAGCGCCACAGCGCAAAACCAGAGCGTCTCGCCAGACTTGGATACGTGCATGTCCATGTAATCGAACGAACTCAACTACAACGTTGAAGGATCAGCATGTGTGGTGGTCGTGAATTGGCAGACGTACTACGCCCAAGCCCCAGTAGAACGCCCGCAGATATATGGCCCCAATGCTCCCATGAGCTTGTTCAATGACAAAGTCATGGCTGTACCAGCTTGGCACATCGTGGGAAGGCAAATCGGATGGGCTGGGATGAGACGACCCATGCTCGGCATGCGAAATCAAATACAGGCCCGTCGCAGCCAAGTGCGAGGCGAAGACGAGAGTCATAAAGAGCTTGACGAACTCGAGCCCCTGCGTCACGGCGACCGACGATGTCTGCTCTTGCACAAACGTGTGAAACGACCGCAGGTAGCTCGACAGCTGCAGACACCGCAGCAGTCGCGGCAAACGGCACAACGTCATCGCTTGGTAGTTGCCGACATAATAAAGAGGCAAACTTGCCAACGCTTCGACTTTGAACGCGCTCCCGTGGAGGTAGTTGGCCCGAATCAAGGCCAGTGACGCCACCTACAACAACCCGTGAATGAGAGCGGTGAGAAGGTACGACATACTTCGTCGCCGTTCTTGTCGATGATGATCAAATGATTGAACTTGATGTACATGTCAACGAGAAAAATAGCATCGCAGACGATGTCGACGATCGAAAACGCGAGCATGCCATGGTCCGTCGGGACTGGGAGCAGCGCCACGCGGAACGGGATTTGGATCAAGTTGTAGATCATGACCACCGCCATGAGCAACTCCCACACGCGGTAGAGCGTCGAGTCGGGCCGAACGAGCCAGTCGTCGAATCGGGGCTCGATATACAGCGTCGGCGAGTGATTGAGCGTTCGGTAAATCTACCGACGGGAGCGTCAACGTGGGTTGCCTCTACATACTACGTACGTTTGGCTTTTGCAGGTTGTGCACCATCGTCTTGATGGTGTTTGACTGGGTTTTCTCGAGTCCCCGGGCCAGGGACTCCACCGTCCTCCACAAGTGCGCAAAGTTGTGCGAGATCGACGCAAAGTCCTGCCGACTGAGCACACTCACGTCGACGGACTCGCTTACGACGCGAACGCCGACCTCGTGCGGCCGCTTCAGCACAAACGCTGCTTCCCCAATGCAACTCCCTGGTTGCAAGAGCTGCAATGGCACGTACAGGTCCTTGACCCCCACAAGGCCCTCCATCACCCCTCGCGTCAAGATGTAAATGTCATCGCACGCGTCGCCGTTCCGCACGACAAATTCGTGGCGGTTGTACGACTGATGCTTCATGATGGCGTAGATGAACCGCAAGCCTTCGGCATCGATGACTTTGAACAGTGTGAGGTATCCCACGGACGCTTCATGCAGGAAGGACTGGATTTCCTGACGCAAGTTGTCTGGCAGCGGCTGCAGCACGGTGAGGGCTTGCTGCTCGGACGTTTGGGACCAATGCGTCTTGTAGTAGTTGCTAATGTGGAGACGGACGTGGTACGATACCCCTACGGCACGAGATGAAGAGCGTGAGGCGGCAACAGTTTGATGCGGCAGAACCACCTTCGGACGTCATGAATCGATGTGCCATGGTAACTTGCTCCTGCTTCTTGCTCGTAGCCGAATTGATACGTGTGACGGCGTTCACGAGGGCCCCCACCGCACCAAAGTTGACCACGATGCTCAGGTATAAAAACAAAAACATGTAGATGCACTCGGCGTCCGTAAAGGGAAAGACAGATCCAAATTGGACGGTCACGAGAGACACGACGCTCCAGTAGAACGCGCGGACGTAGTCGGACGGGTGCCCGTAGTGATCGTGATCGTAGTCGAGCCACGTGCAGTTCTGGTCATTGCGTGCCCATTCGAGACACGTCGTGAACGACAGGCTCCCGTGATCTGCAGGAATTTCGGCGGCGCTCGTTCCGTGGACGTCGTGATGGGTGGCTGCGATCCAGTACCAAATGCATCCACCGACGTGGCATGCAAACGGGACGCAGATCATCATGTTGACGATGATGGTGGTTGTATCCTTGACATGGTTGTGCTTGAGGATCGCGGCCAGGGTCGGAAGCAACCGGCGGATTCGGAGGAGGCGAATCCATTCGCACAAGCGCATGACGATGAGGAAGATCGAGTCGGCGTGGACAAACGTCGCGAGGCTGTCGGCCACGATCGTGAACGGCACGATCGATAGAGCGTCGAGGAAGAACCCGTGCTGTTTGTATTGCTGCCAGATGAACCACGGGTCTGAAATGAGCGTCCCGTTTTCAAAGTACGCGAACCGTCGACTTCGCAGCACCAGATCAGCGAGCAGGAACACCTCAAGCGCCAGTCGGCACGACCATGCCGCCAACGACGACGTCGAGTCGAAGCAAATGTGGAGCGGGATGTCGACGGCGCATATGATTAACCCAATCACCATGCACTGATCCCAGTGCTGTCGAAACCGAGACTCGGGGTGCGACCATCGTAGCGCGCTCGCCGTACCGTCGGCGAATTTAGTCCCGAGACCGAGCTTCGAGTTGGCCCGGATCGGTTTTCGCGCGATTCGCGTGGCCTCGGCCACGAGGTCGTCCCATTTGACCTCGGTCATCTGACCAGCACAAGCCTGGTACACACGCTCGATGGAAGGCTTGTCGACGATGTATAGATCGCAGATCGTCTCGGCCCGTGCCGATATCACGTCGGTGCAGGTCGAGTCCATCATGGACAGCCCAAAGTACTGGCCATCCACAATCTAATCAATCATATATCTAGTCAGCCTCACCGACGCCATTGTGATGGTATCTCAGTACGTTTTTCGTGACGGCGCCATGAGCGTCGAGCACAGCAATTCGACCGCGGCAAATAAAGTAGATGTGTTTGCACGTTTCCAACCGAATGATCCAGTCGCCACGGCCATAGCACTGCCGCTTCATGCACATCATGAGCCGGTTGACGGCTTGTATGGGGAGAGACCGAAAGATCGGAACCTGTTCAGGACAAAAGTCCAGGACCTAGAGTTAGAACATGGTGTCGGTAGCGACCACGTACGGTTTTAAGCAGCTTGGCACGTAAGTGGTCCAAGCATTGCGTTTGAATATGCGTGGGGAGCGCGGCAATCATCGAGTCTTCGTCAATCCCACGCTGGGCGGACCAAAAATGTTCGTAAAAGGCAAGGACTTTGGTTTGAAGCAGCTTGGGAAGACGTCGAGCAGTCAAGTACTCTTTGACCCCGTCCACTTGGTCGTGGAAGTCGTTTTCGCGACGGTTCTGGCACTCAAATAAAAACACATACGCGCCGATGACGGCTCCTGCGATGCAGAACCGCATGAACTGGATTCCGATCCCGATCGCTCGCTCCAGATTTGTCTGAGGCACAGGAAACCCAAACCCAACCACGACCAGCGAGTACGTGTACGTTCGAATAAGCGACGCCCCTACGTGTGCAAGCATCAGGACAAGATCGTCCATGGCCCGTGTTCGCACCTTGCAGCTGAACTTGGTTTGCCCAGCAAGTTTGCCCGCTGACTGTTTGGTCCAAGTAGAATCCGCACTCCAAGTGGGCCACGAGCAGGAAGAGGCACGTGGCCCAGTGGATGAGAGCCAAACTGAGCAAGAGGACGCCAGCTAGCAGGGACATCCCGACATTGTGAAACCCAGAGAGGAGTTCGTGTTCGGCGAACGCTTGTTTGACGAGTCGGGCGATTTCTGGGACTTTGTACATGCGCAGGAGCTTGGGGATGCGGCATAGGATCATCGCGTTGGGCTGGCCGATGAACACCAAGTCGAATGGAAGGAGCGCAAGCCACTCGGCGATGATTTGGTACCTCCGAAGGCCCTTTTGCTTGTCCCATGTTGAGCTGAGCAAGAATTGGGGCTTCATCGACGTTTCCTTGGCCAGGAACGCCGAGTTCCGACGCATCGTTTGCTGCCTCGTGATTGCAAACTTGACTAGTGACTGCTGGAACTCCGAGTTGCGGTGATGCGACGCCTTGACGCTGAAACTTGGCTCCGACTGATCGATGGGCACGACTGCGTTGACAGCTCCTGGAGTTTTGAGAATCCGAAGCGCCGCCACGAGCGCGATTAAGTCGAAGAGGATGTCTAGCGCCAACAGCACGTACATGACGACCTCGGGAAACTCTGGTCTTGGCGACGGCATCGACGTGAAGTATGGGTTGTACATGAATCCAATGCGAAACGGGACTGTGAACCCTGTGTACACGAGTTGCATGGCTTCGCAGCCCAGGAGCACTGTGGGCGACGCCCTCTTTTCAAGTTCTTCGTAGGCCAAACCAAGCTTGGCGAGGAAAGTACGACGAGGGGGCGAGGGAAGGCACGGGGATGGCTGAGGAAGCTTAAACGACGGCCCGGTCGGCACCTCCACTTCCATCTTGGTTGGGCCGGTCGCAGCCAGGGTGTTCTTGAGCTGGATGAGTCCGTCCGTGAGAGCGTTCAGCGATCGTCGCTTGAGATTGTCGACATCTTGAGCTATTGACGAAATCTTCCGACTCGCAAGCGACCGTCGGTCAGACGCTTGAACTCTCCTCCGGTCCGACGCGACGAGCAAAGGCGCAATGACGGGGGTGGACGCTTTCCTCGAGATGGACGAGTTGGATGTATTGGAAAAATTCTTCTTCGAAGAGTTCGTGGCGAGTGGCAACCTCGACTCCCGCACGCTCTGCTCAGAATTGGGCCTCACCGTGGGTCGGACTCGAGGCGGCATCGAAGCAGAGACTCAAGCAGTTGCTACCTTTTCTCCACGAAAGGCGCCACTATAAATATATCATAGTCAAAACGCCCACCACTATCGTTTCAAGAACGACGTCATAAACACAGCAGGGACCTCCCATTGCGTTCACCCGTCGCCACGGACAAGTAGTCAGCGAGTCACATTGTGTTCCTCCACGTGCACCCTTGCCCCAAGTCAAATGCGCATCTCGCTTCATGTTCTC